TTCGCCTTCTCGAGCGGGAGCTCGCGCTGGAGGAGGACCAGTGGGGGCGCGACGCGCATGCCTACGCCCTGTACCGCCGCAGCGCCCTCAACGCCTTCGCGCGCTACCTCCAACGCGCGGCCCCGGCCTCCCCCGAGGCCGACACCCACGCCGTCTTCGGTTTTGTGGATTTGTGGCTTCGCGCAGAGCCCGGCCTGGAAGAGCCCGCGGAGGAGGGGAGGCTCTCGGTCACCGACGAGGTCCTCCACTGCGCGCTCGCGGACATCCCGGCGGGGCGGTTTTTGCCCTGCTTGGGCCAACTCGCCGCGCGGGTCGGGGGCGGCGAGGAGGGCCCGCGGCTCTCCGCGCTGCTGCTTCGCATCGCGCGGGAATACCCCCGCGCGGCGGTCTGGCCTTTGCTCGCCCTGTGCAATGGCCAACACTTCGGCGGCACGCGCGAGACCGACGCCCTGCACAGCTTCGACGAGCGCAAAATCGCCGAGGCCCGGCGGATCATCCAGGCCCTCAAAAGCCCCGCCGGGGATTCCCCCGGGGAGGGGCAACCGCGCGATTCGTCCTCGCCCACAAGGCACGGGGGAAGAAGGGACGACAGCACGGCCGCGATCGTGCGGGATGCCGAGGTCCTCAGCGCGGCCTACATCGAGCTCGCGCGGCACCGCCCGGCCCACCCGAACTCCGCGCGGTCCTACCCCATCCCTGGCGACTTCCAACTGGTGCGGGGGGTGCGGGATTTGTGCATCCCCCCCCCCACCAACGCCCCGGTGAGCGCGGGGGATTTTTCCTTTTCGGCCCCCTCGTCCGCCCCCTCGGGGCTGGGGGGGCGGATTCGTCGGTTTCGCCCGCACTTCACGACGCCGGGGGGGATCACCTTGCCGAAGGTGCTCTATTGCGAGCTCGACGACGGCCACGAGGTTCGCCAGTTGTTGAAATCCGGCGATGACCTCCGCCAGGACGCCTTGATTGAGCAGGTTTTCGCGATGTCGAATCTGCTCTTTCGCCGCGCGGCGGCCACCCGCGGGCTTCGGGTGTTCACCTACACCGTCGTCCCCTTGGCCCCGACGGTGGGGGTGCTGCAGTGGGTCGACCACGCGATCCCCTTCGGGGCCTACTTGACAGGGGACGGGAAGACCGGCGGGGCCCACGGGCGGTATTTCCCCGACGAGCCCACCTCGCAGGCCTGCGCGGCTCGGCTTGCCGAGGTCGCGGGGGCCCGCGCGGCCGTCAAAAAGCGCGTCTTGCTCGACCTCTACGCGGAATTCAGCCCCGCCCTGCACTATTTTTTCTGGGAGGGGTTTGCCGAGGTCGGGGCGTGGTGGGGGGCGCGGCGGGCCTTCACCGACAGCGCCGCCGCCGCGAGTCTCGTGGGCTACGTTGTCGGCCTCGGGGATCGCCACGGGGGGAATCTTCTCCTGCATCGCCGCACCGCCGAGTGGATTCACGTCGATTTGGGCATCGCCTTTGATCAAAGTCGGATGTTGCCGATCCCGGAGCAGGTGCCCTTTCGCCTCACGCGGAATGTCGTCGACGGGCTCGGGGTGGAGGGGGTTGGGGGGGGGTTCGCCGCCGCCGCGGAGGCCGTCCTCTGGCGGCTGCGCGAGCGCCGGGAGCTCCTGTTGGCCATTCTCGACGCCGTCGTGCAGGATCCGCTCACGCGGTGGGCGATTCGACCCTTTTCGGACTCCTCGGAAGGGGTCGAGGCCTCGTTGAACGCCTCGGCGGCCTTTGCGAGGGCCCGGCGGCGGCGCGGAAACGCCTCGGCGGGGGATGCCCGGCGAACGCTGGCGAGGGTCGCCGACAAACTCGCCGGGGTCGACGGGAACGAGCAGCTCGGGGTGGGGGTGCAGGTGCGCAAACTCATCCAGGACGCGCAGAGCGTGGAGAACCTCTCCATGATGTTTCGCGGATGGTCGCCCTGGTTGTGAGGGGAGAACGCCATCTATAAAAACTAAAAGGACGGCAGATAGAATCAGCGCGGAAGGCAAGCGAGGCCACACATGGCTTGGGTGCCTCGTGGACCCTACCTCACGGAGTGTGGGTAAAGTTGTTTAGTGGTAGTATGACTATTATTCTTTGTTGGGTTCTTTTTAACAGGAGAAGCCCCAATGTTTGGGCATCCCATCAGGGGTTACTGATATCTACGAACTGTTAACGTCTATCGTTACCCTCCCTCCTCCCCCCTTCCTCTATCGACATGCACACAGGGGGATTCAATTTGCTGATATTCAAAAAAAAAAAATAACATCATTATTATAATAGGAGGATAATCCTCTACTTTCCCTCTTCACAAATGCTCATTTGGATATGCGTGAGTCTATATCTTTTTTTCTTTTAACAATATAGCAGAATAAGAGGTTAATTTTTATTTTAAAGCGATCCTCCCCTTTTGTGAAGATCCTATGGAAAAGGGCCAAATAAAAATAAGCCTATTAGAGTTAAACCTTCACCCTAAGTCATTTATCCTACATTCCATTTCATGTATGCGTATCTATTTGCCTGCTTTTACATTCATTTAACTTAATTTCCTCAATTAGTCCTTTTAATTATATTTTCGTTTGAGGGAAAAACTGAGGAATTAGTGTGACTAATTTCGTTTTGTACTCATTACATGAGGATATATATAATTTGTTAATAAAAGGATTACCTTGGTCGTGATCTCAATCTTAGAAAGCCATCTTAATCATAGTTTCGCATTCGAGCTAAAACGAAAGACTTAAATAATAATTTGACATTTTTATATCATAATTTTATTGATTGTTTTTGATCGTTTAAATAGTGCTTCTTCCAATATAACTTCCATTGAGGCGCCCCGCCATTGATCTGAGGAAAAAAAGCACGTTAAAGTGGCTGAGGCGCCACAAAAGGGGGCGAAAAGGGTAAATCGATAGGAACGAAAAAACAACCACAATGGGCACTATGGTGACTGAGTTTTTTCTGCGCGCGCTCCACCTCGCGTATAGTTTCGACCCCAACGTCACCTCCCAGGAGCGGCTGAGCGCGGAGAAGTACCTGATGGAGCTGGTGGAGAGCCCGGAAGGGCTGCACATGGCCTTCCACATCCTGAACAGCGAACCCGTGCAGGAGATGCGGTGTTTTTGGGCCTTCAACACCATTATTCACCAACTGCCCGCCCTGGCGTCGTCCGTGAGCGCCGCGCAGGCGGAGGAGCTCTACACGACGCTCTTCCAATTCATTTACCGCTATTTTTTCACCCCCACGACGGCGCCGGTGGACTTCCTGACGAACAAACACGCGCAGCTGATGGCGGTAGGCCTGCGGCACTTCTACCCCGCGCGCTGGCGGGGCTTTTTCCACGACCTGCTGGACCTCCTGGCGCGCGGCCAGGCCGCCGCGGCGCCGCGCGAGGCCGTCGCGATGTACTTCCTGCGAGTCTGCGAGGCCATCGACGAGTGCGTCGTGGCCCCGCGCGAGGCCGCCGAGCCCGGGCCGGGCTCTCGCGCGCGGGACATGGCCGTGAAGGACGCGATGCGCGAGGCGGCGGTCCCTCGGCTCGTCGCGGCGTGGTACGGGCTGTTGGCCGAGGCCGACGGCCGCGGCCCGGGGCTCCCTGGGCTTTGCCTTGACGTCCTGCAGGCCTACATCGCGTGGGTCGACATCGCGCTGCTGACGACG